GCATAGACACCGAGGCCAAAAACGTCCATCCAGTAGAATGGACTGTTGGAATGTGATAGAGGGAAAATGGTGCAAGAAATTGCAAATGGATTACAATGAGGAAATTTATCCAATGATAAGAATTGAAATTAGAGCAAACTTCAAACTTTTACCTGAATGTCTATCTCCTTGCTTCTTGTTATTGCACCAGCATTTTGGCATTCGAGCCGAATTTCTTCTTTATTTGGCAAAGGTAATGTGCGCAAAATACGAAGCCGAGGATTCGCATCTGATTTCTCATCTGGATTATGCCGGCCTCCCTCAGTATAGAGGATAGCGTCCAGACATCCAGTGAAATCTGGCACCCAATTAGTGAATCCAGTCAAAGGAATAGGGCAAGCCAGCTTTAGTGGTGGCATTACGACCGATTTAGCCACAGGGAGCGGATACTCGTTCTCACCAAGCTTTACCAATATATTGAGCATCTCAGAGAGGTCATTTGAATCCAAGGTATCCGTCGGCGGAAGCGAAAACTGAGCGGGGTTTGTAAGTGCAAGCAGGGCTGGCTCATTTGGCGAAGCATTTAGGTCGCCACCAATCAAGATGGGCATCGGGCATCTATAAGGAGAAGGCAAAACTAGTGAGAATATATGAATACGCCTACCTTGCACAGCAGACTCGCAATTCAATAGCTACAAGTAATTCAGCCATTTTAACGCCTGTATTAATTGCAGAGTCAGTTTCATTAGGCGGATGACAACTTGTGGTGTCGTATATTAGCGCTAGACTAAAACCGGACAGCTGAATTAATGTGTAATGACAGTCAAAAACACACGATCATCATACCATTTGGGTTCCGTTAAGCAATACCTCTTTAGCTTGTGATTTCTCTTAACAATTAGCTAGACATTTTGATCGCTTATGCTACGTTCAGCTCTGTTCTCTACAATTCTTTTAGAGCAGTTGGCGCGTAAGTATATAGATGACTGGGAATTACATATAACGACAAAGTGAAGCAGATTCTTGAGCTGTCTGCACGAATCATTCCAGGTATTTCTAGGAATTAACGAAAATACATCTGATGATGGTGTATACATTTGCGAAATTTTCAAGCTCACTATTTTATAGTGAAAGTGCGGAAATTGAAAGGTCTGACGGATTTCTCTTGTCCATATGTCGTTTGAACCTTGTGGTAGGTTATAATGACGCCACCCCCAAGGTAATCTCATATTCCGCTGAAGTCTTTCCGAGCTTTGATCTGTCAACACCTGCTAGGTTCTTGTGTCAGCTACCCAACGTCAAATGGAACAATCATGTATCCAGAACAAAAGCGACCGCATAAACATCGTTTATAGCGGTCTGATATGGATAATGGATTACATTTTTCAATGAAAAAATAATCGATTACTTCTTCAGAGATAAAGTTGATTATTATCCAGATCGGGCTGCTATGAGATAATGAGCTCATGGGGTTTCTGTTATGCTGGATAAAAGTGTCGTTCTATTCAACATAGGATGGCTGAACACAGTCACCTTTAGAGGTAGCCAAACATACGACTGAAGCACTAAGGAGAACGGTCTCAAACTAATCGATTTACTGACCACAGTATGTCTACAGCTAAGGGCAAAAATTGGGAAGGTCATAGAGATCGAGGATTTATGATTATCAGGAATACAAACGGGAAGTTAAATAAGAACTACTTGCCCTTAAGAAGTGTCGAACCCCTGAGAAAGAGAGACGACTCAACCGGATCCTTCTTAGTCACTGCTGTAATTATACGCCTAAATTAAATAGAAAAGCTCATCAACTTAGCCACGCGTGCATGTGGTATTAAGGGATCGAAGTAATTATTAAAAATGGCTATTAAAGGCTGATAGATGGGGAAAGGTTACATTTTTTAATTATCTCCACTGTTTTCATATCTTTAAGTACACATTATTGCACATAATCACACGCTTCTAGGTTGGCACAGCCTCAACTAACCAAATCGCTTTACCTCTCAAAATGTTGCATTTTTTTATTTGTATATGGAGAATATAAAGGTAAGCGAAGGGTCTTCTTGAATCGTTAGTTTACATTATTTGTAAGAATGGCTCCGGGTTCCGACCGCGCCTGCCATGTGACCCATCAAAGCTTAGGGCTTTTAAATGGGATCAAAGCCCTCGGACACAGCACAGGACATTCCGGTAAGGCCAAACAACTGATAGAGGAATCAGCCATCGCCTTCTCGTCTTATTACCCACACTTTCACTCGAAACCCAACTTCTATTCATATATTCCACTCCCACAGAACGACAACACAGAGCTGTAGTTATGACTGCGCATAATAATAGATCACATCACTTTGCTGATACTCCATTCGAATAATTAATTAATTAAGCAGTTTCGAGACTTCCATACATCTCATGATTCATTAATTGTCCATTGTATAATACATCCGTGTCCGAGAGTGTCTATGCCGAAGTATTAAAGCTTTTATTTGGTAAAATATCAAAATTGAGTAGCTAGCTTTTTCGGCTGGAAGACGACTGGGAAAATCTAACAAGACTCAGAATGGATGGAAACAAAATCCGTTTTTGTGGCTGATTTACTTGCCCTCAGATTTTAACGCACCAATAATTTCCAAATGCTATCCTCCTACGTGTGCTTCACCAACAGCCATGATCCAATTGCTCAACTCACTCGTTACGAAGTTCCGCTTCAGAATAAGCCACCCGGGTCAGGTAGTAGTGGACAACCTGTGCTTGGGCCTGGCGAAGCCGGTTTAGTTGAGGCATGAAGTATAGATGAGTACTGGCTACAATCAGTAAGTCATTTTCTGATTTAGACTGGTCAACCTCAAAGAATGATGCAGTTGGCGAAGAGAGGCGATGGAAAATACCGGCTGCAAGACTTTGGGAAAATGGCTTTGCAATACTACAAGTTTCATCAAAACCTGAACAATCCAGCTTTGTGTTCAGCTGAATAATGTCCATCTGAGACATATGTAATAGACCAGCCAACTCGGGTTGTCTCAAGGCCCAGCCGAAAATAGAGGGAAGACTAATATTACGTACAAGCTCGTATCGTGAAGCATCATAGAAAATAGCTGGTCCTTCTGGCTAAAAAATCATGTGAAAAGGAAAAAAGCATAAAATGTTAAGGTCAAATCCGATTGTAGAAAATGTTGGAGCATTTGTCAATTTCCTAAGATGACAGAAGAAACTTCACATTAATTATCCATTGATCATTAGCAAAATATTGGTAGCCTACAAGGAGTTTAATAGGAGTCATCGATGCCCGGTCTAATCTGCGTTAATATGAATCACTGCCCAACACACGAATACAAACTTAGAGTTTAGGGAGGAGAATATGTAGATATTCATGTGGGCATGAGGCCACACCAACCAATGACCAAGCTGTGTGACTTGTGATGTAATAAGACTACATAGAACAATTAAGCCTAATCTTTAATTCACCATGTGTAGTTCAACCATTATGCTTGTCACTGAATGCAAAGGATATGTTAAATTGTATCTAATATCATTGAATATATTTACAAGTAGAAAGATCGCTAACAAAAAGAGGCTAATAGTATTGGTTTGATTTTGTTTTAGCAACTTGGTCAGTGTAAGGGAGACCTAGTGGAACGTACATTGTCCTGCGTCCTCTGCCATAGTATTCGGAATTTACAGCATTGGGCCGTTGACTTTGTACATTCCCAAAATTTTTTTCCGGCATCAACTGTGAGGCTTCATCATTAGTCAAGAGTTACAACATATCAAAGTCACCAGTGAAGGTAATCGCCTTGACCAGTTCACCGTTGAACCGTTGTGGCTGTAAACCTCGAACTTTATTCTTTGCCCTACTTTTTATTGCTGCATCTCTTTTTCTCAACCTCGCATCATATCGCCCATTTATCTATTCACGCCATTCTGTGATCTCGTCTTCTAAGAGAGAGGGGGAATTTATTTAAGTTTTTAGATATTAAATCTAGGTTCGGACATATTTTGAGTTGGGTTTTTACCTTATGGGATGACAGACAAAATTTCCCAAATGATCTTGGACAGTCAAAAAAGGCCCCAGAATAAGCAATAAAAAGATGGTATACATAGGCAGCTCAAAATCCAATAACCCGGCAAAAATGAAGGTGTTTCTAGAAAGATGAATTTAAAAATCCAAACAAGAGATAAAGATAAAGAAGTGAATCTGTCTTCCGCCTCTCTTGACCTGGAAACCACGGTGACCCTCAAGAAAGGAATAAATTTTGCATTTAGGAATGGAAGGACATTTCAGTAACGTTGATAAATACCTATGAGAGGCTACCGGAAGATAAAAAAGCTGGAAATGGAAATCAATTCAACAATCTTGAACCATCAAGAACCCATGCATTAAAACAATATAACCAAGATATGCAGAGAATTTAAAAGAAACGATAAAATAATTATATAAGCTGACAAATGAGGTGCCACAATAGTAATGGATAGGAAGGAATATACAGTGTCGCGGAAACTAGAAATTATCGACTGCTAACAAAAGACCTTACAATATGAAAAGCTGGGTTCCAAACAATCACTTAATAGATTGATACTGATATGGCTTTCATGTAGTTTGAGAAGATGAGTCGAAGGGATTCGTAGATTGGCCTTAACGGATATCAAAGGAAAGTAACTTTGGACTTTTCTCTGCGAATTGTGCGAATACATTGGCCCCCAATGACCCCGTGCTGAGGTTTCTTCCGTCCTATGGCAAACATTGTCAGAGCCATTGTGGCCAGCTGAGATCCTACTTACTTCTTATACCTGACTGTGATTTTAATGAGGCATTCTATGATTTGGTTGGTTGACTCATGTTTGTCCTACATACATGAAAGTGGGTTAAAGTGATACAGGCATGGAGCAGATGTGGTCACAACTTTTGTCTATGTAAATAAACTAGAGTATGATCAAGTAGACCTGGGTCTTGTTACAGCTAAATGGATGCGTGTTTGGTGCATTTAGTTATTAGCTAAAACTGGAGACAAACACGATCCCATAGCTAACCCTCCTTTTTGTTTGTAATATTTACCCTTAAGG